AAATCCTACTTTGAATTGTGTTCTAGGTGATGTTGAAAGCTGAATTTCTCCCTTGTGGGTCTTTCCAACAAGGAGGCATACATGTGACTAAAAGCCACTTTTGCTTCTCAGATCAAGTTGTGTGTTAAATGAAGCTAGTTAGCCCCAAGGCCTAATATTTTAATATGAATTGTTGTCACTCTTAAACATGTCAGAATTGAAGACACTTCTAGAGCTGGACACTCCTTAAAAAGCTGAAGTCCACTTAAAGTTTTCCTGAAACTCAGAAAAACTTTCAAATTTCAATTTTTTTTTTCTTAGGCTAGATTTTATTTGGTTTATGGACTCTAATTAGACTGGATATACAGTGTAAGATTTTACCTCAGCTCTTCTGAAACAATTCCTTACAATTTCTTGGTAAGAAATTTATTGCTTAAAGACCAAATAATACTTTCAAATTCAAACAACATAATCTGCAGCTCAGTTCAAAGTTTCAGAGAAGACATATCTATACTTTACATAGAGAGCTTGTATTAAATTCTAGTCTCAGTGTGGACTGTGTTGAATCAACACAATGCATATGGTGTATTTGTTTTCACTTATCTTCTATTTATCTTTTACTGACAGTAGTTTCTCTAGATTGAACAAGTCCAACCCTGAGTAAAATGGCCAAGAATAATTTTTCTTGCTGTATCAGCTATCATGTTTCAGTCATTTGAGACTTCTCAGTCTATATGACTGATATATTCTATATTACTGACAGTTCTAAACAACTGTTGCCCTTGTACAGAAATTGCTGATTTTTTCAGCATTGTGAAGCTAGCTGCTGTCTGGATATTGATGAAGTCATAATATGGCATCAAGGAGCTCTTTGTAAACAACCCCACTAAATGCTCACCTTGCTTTTTGTCCAAGCTCTGTGCAAGGCTGTGCACAGCCTGACCCTGCCCAGGGTAAACACAGAGAATATTTGTTTGCATTGATGACATCAGTGCAAAACCTTTTACATGACTGTGTAATTCTCAAGTGGTTTATAAACAAATGCAGTTTAAACATGAATATGCAATTTAAGCTTATTCTGGCAAGATACAAAGGAACTTAAGTAGTGAAATCTGCTTTTATGGTAGATGATATAGCAGCACTGTAATTTACACTTTACTAATGCTGTCAAAGAAATAAAGCCTACACTTCTTTAAAATTGTTTTTCTTGACATAAGTACTGCATTTAAATGCAGTGTCTGTTGTTTTGAAAAAAAATTGTTTGAAATAAAACTGTACTATATTCTCTGTGTTAGGACAAAAAACCTGAAAAAGAAATTAAAGTTATTACCATGCTGCTAATGTAGACAGAGGTAAGGAAATGCAAACAACAAAAAAAATCCATCAAAAATATTCAGAAAATCTAAAAGTTTCTCATCAGCTATTCTAGATGTTCTTCTCACCCTTAGCAGGATTCCTGTTTGATTATTCTTGAAATTAATTCTGATTTATTTCCTGTTTAATATATCACATATATTTATGGTTATATGGTAGCACCAGATGGGAATGCTAAGACCAAATGAAAGAAGTACAGGAGACATTTCAAACTGACAGTGTTAATTACATGCTGAAAAAGTTCTAGCTTTCCAAGAAAAAGCAATTTCCAACTTCCAAAACCTTGCTATTATTTCCATTAAAAAAAAAAAAATCCAAGCTAAATAAAATAAAAACCTTTAAAGTTTCAGTGTACTGCTTTTGAATAATGTTATCCACAATTTTAAGACAGACAGTCCATTAAATAGAAAAAAGATATTTTTTTTTTTACATAAAGCAAGAGGGTACAAAAGCACAGCTTTTGTAATTTTGGTAATATTGCAGTTCTACAAACGTATTGCATAGTATGTGTAAGAAAATAGTTCCCATCTTTTTATATATACTTCTATACACAAGAAAACCATTAACATGAAGGTTACAAAACAAAAACGGTTAGCAGACCTTTACTGAGTAGTGTTTGAAACAATAAGACACTCAGATTTTCATACAACTTTCATGTGCATTACAGTGAATCAGTTGATAACAATTCCATAGTCTCAAGTTCGTGGGTTTTTAATTTGTTTTTTATTTGGCAGTTTTTTGGAATATAAAAACAAAGCAAAACAAAACAAAAAAACCCAAAAAACCCTAAAAGATACATTGTGTTAGGAACCAAATATCTTAAACATCCTTCATTCATCCTTCTAGACATTTATGGCTGTATCTTCCAGACTTATTAACTCTGCATCTAAAATGGTTGAAAGCAAATTATTTTATCCAGTCAAGCCAATTTTACAAGCAAACCAGTATAACTTCAATTCATAGAAGCAATGTCTTGGCATGTTTTCTTAGGAACACCAAAAGACCCCCATATGCATGAATAGTAATGTAATTGCAAGACACTGACAAAAAGTTTAAACCTTGGAAAAAAGTGAAAATCTACAGCTCAAAATGCTGCACAGATCTAAACTATGTTACATTTCATGTTGTAATTACAACTTTTCATCTCTTCATTCCAACAGAATTAGTAGAAACAGCAGTGTCATAGTGTTGAATATAATAGAAGTGTCTGTCTTTGGTCTTAATACTTAACCAATGAATGAACTGCAATACAAACCATACATCTGACAGTGCTCAGAGAGGTTGGCTGATGCTTTTATTTTTCTCTTCTTTTTTTTTTTAAAAAAAAAAAAGAGAGACAGTATCCTATAATATGACACAAATACTTTTTACAGGAAATAAATTTATCATATATATTAAATACATGTAGCCAATAAGGTCTTTGCAGATATTTCATTGTTGTCATAAGGATGGCATCTTAATTTTTTAGTATGGTTAATGCACTGAAATCACTTTTCCAATACTCCCTGAAATCATGTGGGCTAGAAATACTTTTTGAAATAAAAAATGTTTAATTCCCTTACAGTTTTCAATGGATTTAAAGTAAACATCAATATTATGAAATTCACCAGATTATTAACATATAATGAGAACTTGCTATTCTATCCCATAGGTTGTTGAATGTCTTAAATATACTCTGCTTCATACTGATGGGACTCCAGTAATGAATATCTTGACAGTGCAGAGCTACATGAATTTACTGGCTTGTTTTTTAGGAGTCCAATGTATTATCCACATATGTCTTCTGACTTCATTCAAAGTGGCAAATTATTTCAGTCTTGCTGTTAAAATTGATCTAGTAAAAAAATATATTTTTTTTCTACCTGCCCATTCCCAACCAAGTCAGTGTGAAATTTATTAAGTTTGGGTCCTTCCATCAGTGAACAGAGATCTTTTCTAAATGAATAACAGGTAAATAATCTCAGAAGGTGAAGAACAAACAAATAAGAATTTTTCAGTGGAAAATTCTTGACAAAATATCTGCAAGATATCCTGCAGGTTTCTTTGAGGAGAAAAAAAAGCTCTTCAGCTTTTTTGCTACTTGTATGCAATTTGTAGGAAGCCACATTTTAATTCAGATTAAATATAAATAGATTTAGATAAGTCACTATATTTGTTCATCTTTTAAGCAACAGGTGTATGTAGGTGTGCACAGATAATGAATACGCATAGATGCGTCCTCATACATATCTTTATACTTTCCCTTCCGGAATTCATGGCTATCACTCTACATTCTATTACTTGTGTGCATAAGAAAAAGACATCTATATCCCTATATATGCCAGTTATAAGGGTGTCTTGTGTGGCTACACTTTCTAATGTTTTATTGTCATCCTCTTTGTCATCTGTAACTCTTTTTGTCCCTTCTACTGTCTTCAAAATCCTCATGTTCTAATACATTTGCTTGCAATATTTTCTAGTATATTTTCTTTCAAAGAAGAACAATCTCAAACAGACGACAAGTCAGCTGTTAACAGCCTTCTTTTGAAGGCATAAAATAATAAATTTAAAATCTTCATTTAACTGTTAAAACCAGCAAATACAGAATTCTTGCCATGAGGTAAAATTCACGCCTCTGAAGAGGGCCAATGGTAAGGCAAGCACCAGTCAAGCCATTGACACGTCTTGTGCTGGTCTTCTGCATAGGAGTGAATTTCACCTGAAGTGAAAACAAAGTCAGCCTTATTAGGTGTTAATAAGATGCCAAGGGAATCACCATACTAGTTTACTCATTTTCATTTATTTTCTCTAAAAAAAAATAAAAATGTGTGTAGAAATACCCACCTTGCACCATCTCCCCTGGCTTTAGAATTACTTTGCAAAAGCTCTCATATCACTGGTGATCTTTGATTCAGAAGCCTCTAACAATGCAAGCTAGGTGATGTAATTTAAAGAATAGAGTTAAAAAACATACTTACCTCACACAATCAAGCCATCTTCCACATTAGGAAACATTTTTATATTGTTTTACTTCCCTGGGTTCTGCAAGTTTCAAGATACTCTTGTTAATCAATGTTGTGACAATTTTACCAGCAGCATACCAAAGCATTTCTTATAAGATTTCAATTACCAATCAAGCCACATAAATATGAACATTGATACAAGAAAGAAATCCCACATGAAACTTGTCAAAAAAGAAAGTCAGTAGTGAGATCTCAGTGCAAATGTGGCTGCATAATTTAAACACAGACCTGGTAAAGTCAAGGTAATATCGATGTACTTTTTAATACTGAATGTCATTTAATATGTGATTTTATATATACTACTATTACTTCGAAACCTCAGCAGTAGACAGTAAACAAAAGAGAATAATAAATGTGAATGTCATACAAGTTGTTAGTGCACTGCTTCTCAGCATCACACTTTACATTACTAACAATGTTTGTACTGTGTTCAAGTGGCAGCAGTTAAGTATAGTCAGAAAATGGGCAAGATGTACCTTTGAAGATTTCTCTCGGTTTTGTATTTGCCAATTATAAGAACCTTGTGAAGAGTAATACACTGATCAACAAACATATCATCAGAATTTCCTTCTATACCCTGTTCTTCTTTTCCAGAAACTGTATATTCTACTTAAAGCAATCACTTCACATGCAATGGCCATGAAAATATAAGGTCATTCAGATCTGACAAACAAGAGCATGTATTTTTAACTTTTAAAGTAATATTGCTGAGCACTTCCAAAATTTACCTAGTGTACAAAACCCTAGACTTAGTAGACAAATAGTAACAACACATTTTTAAAGAAACCAAACTCAGGGAGGAATTCTGTCTCTTTTTGTATTAAAAACCATTTACTGAATTTGTTTAGTAAAGCAAGCATCACACAATGCTTTAAAATTTTAAAATTCAGGGATAAAAGTTTACATCCAAAAAGATGAATGGAAAATTGTGCTTTCAGACAGTAAAGTTATATATCATACAAGGGGAACCAATTCATCTCACCATCAGATTCTGGGAAAATTCATGTACTCTCTCTCTCTCTCTAGATATATATTTATGTGCAGCTCATATCCAGGTCCTGCAAAAATCTAAAACTATGTGCTTCACTTCAAGTAGCAAAGGCACCTGTGTTATTGTCCCTTTTGGAAAATAAGGTGATCTTATGTTCTAGGTTTCCTGATGAAGAATACATTGATTTCTGGATATCTCTCTCTCTCATCACTGTGTTGAGTGGCAGCACAAACCACAAGAGAAGGCAGCGCTGTATTCCTGCTTACAGTGGAAGAAGTTGCTCTGCAGGCCGTTTGAAGTGTCGAACTTGTCACAAGGGAAACCGAACTGAACTGTGAAGCAGAGGGATAGTAACAAAAGGCTATTCTGGTGTGAGGATAAAATGGAGTCATTCTAGCTCCACAAGCAGATGTTGCTACTGGATTGACATGTGGAGCCTGCTCCTGCTGGGGACAGGTAAAGTTTACCATTGGGACAGGCGCAGAGCTCATAGATTGTCTGGCGAGGGGCTGAAGAGCTGGGTGAGGAGGAGGAGGAGAAGGAGGAGGAGGAGGATGAAAAGGACCCCACTGGTAGATTTCCCAGGCGTATTGTATCTGCGTTTAAAAATATCTAAAAGAGGGAGAAAAAAAAGGAATACATAAATTTCTTTCAGCAGTGAGACATATTTTAAAGAAGTGCTTTGAGGCAGCTGTGATTCTTTAGAAGTGTATTTAAAATTTTAGAAATATTTTATTAGAAGTATTATAAAGATATATTAGAAATTACTCTTTTTAGAAATAAAAAAGCTGTCAGCATTTATTGTTTTTCATCTCCGTGTAGTCATTTCTGCATTAATAGTCATTATGATGAATTGTAATATATGCAATTACTTCACCGACATGTTTATTCAGGTACAAACATTATTATACAAAAACATTTTGACAATATTCTTGAATAAGTTGAATTTTCATTTGTACATTTTATGATTAACATTTATTCATTCATAGCAGCAGCATATACTTGCTCTGGCAGAATTTGTATTTTAATAGGTGTGAAGTAATATTAAAGCACGTTCCCCAGTGTGCTCCTGTAAGCAGTTGAAAATATGTGCTGAACTGTGCTAAATTGTAGGGGCTTAACAACAGCTACTTCCAGAAAATAATTAAATGAGGTTACAAAGACACAGGCACAAAATAAAGAGCTTCTTTGACCTAAATTAAGAGGAGGAAATATTTCAGGTTAAAGTCTTATTAAGAAGGTCATCAAGATATTCCCATTTGTTTTTGAGCATTGAATATGATTAAAAAATATTTGTTTTTTTTTAAATCTGCCATTGGAAATAAAATGAGTCTATATGAAACTGTAGATACCAGTAACATTCATGAATCTCTGTTGATTTCTCCAATACTTACATTTGCAGAAAACTACATGTCTTCTACTGGCACAAACAGATGAGTGTCCAGCTGCTCAGAATTTATTTTTTGTTTATGGAAAGAGTAAAGAAGAGCTAAGGTAAGATCAGTCATTATCTCAGGAGAAGACTACGAACTTCTAGAAGACAGGTAACAAATCAAAATGGCCTTAAATTCTGGAAGTGACACTATGAAACTTAGGAAGAGGCAAATTCCTTAAATACTTGTTAGTGTTTTTCATTTGGTATCTAAAATCAACAAACCTGGCATCATTATACCACAGTCTACACAGTACATGTAAAGAACCTGAAGAAATAGGGAAAGCATTGAGTTGCCCTGAGAATTAAACCTTCTGATCTTGTTTTCATAGTTTCTAGCCACTTTCCCAGGAAAGTAACAATAAACATAGATGTTTATACATTCCATTAAAGAAATGTCTTTTGATGGACATTTCTCATGACCAGTGTGGTTGGGAAGGTGGTGACCTGACTATCTAATCCCTGGTCACTGTCGAGAATCTATAAATATAGGAACTACAAAATAAATCGCTCTCTTTTTCCTATCACACATTGAGCTGTGTGTGAATAATTTCGTGCCCAACAGTGACAGCAATGTTGGTTTTGTTTTCTACAGGACACAAGTATTATTTTATGATAAAATAAGTGGTATATGGCAGCAAGGCAGTGCAAAAGCACTACTGAGCTCCTGCTGTAGAGAAGGCTGGAACAACAGGCTGGGAAAAAAAGAAAGTGTCTGGATAAAATTCCTTACAGGGCTGGATGCATATTCATGTTTCCATCCACAACAGAAGGATTGTAAATGACTGGAATTATTGAAGGTAATAGAGTCTGAACGTAGCCCGAAACACTACAACTCCCCATTACTGTAAGTTCTCCAGTTCCCACAGATATATACTGTCATGGAAGGAAATACTAAAAGGGACAGAAAGGGAGAACCGCAGAGGCAAAGGTGACATCTGCATGTCACAATGCCTGCTTTAATTCACATCATTACTGATAGAGGAAGTGATCACTAAAGTGAAATGCAGCAAATTATTATCTTTGTCCTGTAATTTACACAACAAAGGAATGATGTATTTAGACACACAAAGACACAATGTTGCTTGGAAAGTCCAGTATTACAGACCTGAGACAATTAGTAGTCATAACCCCTGAAGAAAGAGTTTTTATGAAAGAAATGTGGATGGTACTGGGAACAATTTAATTATGTTCTGCTAGAATTACAACTGGAAAAAAAATTACACAGGTTAAAACATTCAGCTCAGATAAGAGTAAATGTAAAAGTAACTATGGCAAATATAACACAAAAACAAAATAAGAGATACGGGAAAAAGAGTTTAATAACAAACAACATAAACCTTAATCCTAACCATAACCCAAACACAAAACCTAGCCCTAACCTTAACTTTAACCCTACGGTATGTGGGAAGGAAACAAAGGACATAATAATGAATGGAGTGACAATTAATTAGTAATTAAAAGTATTTTTTCACGTCTCATATCAAGAAAAAACAGATGGTAAAAGGTTCATTATTAAAGTAGCAACAGTAGTGTTATCAATACCTTTGCATAAAAATCCAGTAGCATTTAACAATGCAAGGTCTATGTAAGTATATCTTTTGTATTAAATAATGCTCAGCATAGTTCTGTACTGGGAGAAAGATCAAAAATTGATGTCAGAACATGACTGTGATAAAATACTTTCAATTTCAACAGTAACTCAACAGGATATTAAACTGGAGCCAGTAATGTCATATACTTTTAATCAGCAGTTCTTGATAACTTTTAACAAATAGAGCTTAAAAAAAAAATAAATCTGAGTGGCCTTTTGGACTTCTAATACTGACTTTCAGTAAGCCTTGTGTCATGGTTTAACCCCAGCCAGCAGCCATGTGTCACACAGCCACTCACTCCCCCACCAGAAAGATTAGGAAGAGGATTGGAAGGGTAGAAGCTGTAACACTCATGGGTTGAGTTAAAGACAATTTAACACACAAGCAAAGCAAACTAAGGAAGGAATTCACTATTTCCCATGGGCAGGCAGGTGTTCAGCCAACTCCAGGAGAGCAGGGCCCTATCACAACCGTGACTTGGGAATACAAACACCAGCACTTCAAAGGCCTTTCCCCTTATTCCTTCTTCCCCCAGGAGATTTATATAGTGAGCCTGATGTCATAGAGTATGTAAGGTCCCTTTGGTCGGTTGAGGTCACCTGCCCTGACTGTGTCACCTCCCCACTTCCTGTGCACCCCTGGTCTCTTCCCCAGCATGGCTGGACGAAAAGCAGCAAAGTCCTTGGGTCTGTGTAAGTCCTTCTCAGCAATAACAAGAACATCTATATTATCAACCTTGTGTTCAGCACAAATCCAAACCACAGCCCCATACAAGCCACTGTGAACAAAATAAAATCCCAGCCAAAACCAGCACACCTCAATATACTTGGAATACCAAAGAAGAAAAGAAAAAGACTATTTCTATGGAAGCTGGAGACATTAGAATATTATGTATGCAATAATAAAAAAACACTTCAATATAGAACATTTCAGGCAATCCAACAAAATACAAGATGAGCTCTTTATACTTTTGGCAGATTGTGTGACTGGCCATTTTAACAGCTTTGCTTCAGTCATGATGGGGAAGAATCATGTGAAATCTGTAGACCAAAATTAAATGGGTTCTAAAAGACGTGTTTTGTTTCAAACAAGCATTAACTCAAAAAATCAGAGGGCCTATGTGTCAGAGATGTGGGAGGAGTTAAATTTCTTGAACTTTATTATATTATTTGTTGTGAGTTCAATAATTCTGTTTGTTTACATCAGGACAGCTACACTTCTACAATCTATCATTGCAGATGTTCAGTAGTGTACTGCTCCAAGACTTTCATCCAGAGCACCTTACTCTGATGTGCATTACAAGACAATGTAGCTCAGTTAATTTGCTAATTAAATGAAATGATCTTTATGAGCATAGCTGTGCAGGCTCTTCCACTGGTACTTACAAACTTCACACTGTGATGTACAACAATCCAGGTTTATCTGGTATCATAATCCTGCGTGGTAGCTAGCGAGTCCCATCCCAGCATGCACCCCAGAACAGCCGGTGAGCAACCCGGATACTGGGGTATGGTGTCTGAGAAAAGCTGAACTGGCTTCTTGGGAAGGTGATACCTGCTGCAGTGAGTCCAGTTTAATCACATCCTTATAGCTACACCCTGGTGAAGCCTGAGATGAAGAGGATTAATAAGGATGGTTTAAAGCCAGTATTAAAATCTACCTTGTATATATGTTGTCAAGGTTATAAATGAAAGACCAAATTTAGAGATGTAACATTGCTATCTATTAGGGTCTATTAGGTGAGCAGGAATCCAAATATACCACCAGTGTATCCCAACACAGTAAGAATTTCAGTGTACATATTTGAGGATATAGGTTTCCTGCCCTCTGATCTGCTAAAAACTGAAATTCATGGCTGAAAAGTCCTCCAACACCAGCAAAACTTAAACTACTTACTGTTTTATGCCTGATGCTATCAAGTGCTTAAAGAGAAGGGAAGAAGTTGCAAGACAAAAAATTAAACAGTGCTGTTTCTAGGGAACACTGTTGCTAGATGACAGTAGATAATGGAAGTGCCTGTGTACATGGTCCTCCTCTTATCTGTTTTGCTGTGAGACATATGAGATAAGCCATTTAACACCTCACATATATCAAGGCAATGTAGGCCAGTCATACTCTTTCTGAGAGTCTCACTCCTCAGCAGATAAATAGGCACAAATAAAACCAATTCATCCATTCTTGAAACATTGTAGGAGAATGACTGACAGATTGCAAAATGGAAAAGGCAGCATCTACTCGGAGAAATGTTATTTCATGGAGAGCAGAATGCTGAGCAGTGTCATTCTCTCTAAATACTTAAGGTTTAGAAATCCCAGATCACTACTTTGTTGCATGCATCTTAGTACAGAGAAAAACAGATTAGTTCTATAATGTTTAAAAATAGATCTGATTTCTGACTAATTAAAGTATCAAACTGAATTAGCATGGAGTGTATGTGATAAGAATGGGAAAATGGTACTCTTTTTATATACATTTTTTGCTAATGAAGGTCTGCCATTCACCTGCACATCAGACTGTATTGTTAATCTGAACATAGAGAGTGGAAGGGACAGGAAGGCAAGCCAGAAAATACAGATTATCTACAA